TGTGTGTGTGTGTGTGTGTGTGTGTGTGTGTGTGTAAAGAGCTTGCTGAGGGAAACCCAAGTCAGGGGAATGAGTTTTGCCATTTGTTCTGAAAGGGATGGTTCCACAGTTCTGGTGGAAGGTAGCTATTGCAGGAGATCATGGCCATGGAGCTGGTGATGCACTCGCTCTCAGGGAGCAAGGGCTGATTCCATGAAGGGCTTTGGAGATGAGGCTAATGGTGATGTGTTCGTGGTGACCTGTGGGCTGAGCAGACAGGCTGCTGCTCTGTGTCCTAGGAGTTTTTCAGGGTGCGGTTTCTAGACGTGAGTTAGTTAATTAAATCTGTCTGTTCCACGGGTGGCTGTCTCTAGCCAGTTCTGCTTGATGGGCTGGGATGCAAGCTCCTGGCTAGATAGGATGAAGTGGGTGTCTTGCTGTCCTGGCTACTTGGGCATCATCGAATAGCATTGAGTCCACACTGTGGGCTGAATTATCCAGAGCATCTGCCTGTCGATTGGACGTCGTTAGAGACAAGCTGAGAATGTCTCTGCAGCTAGAAGTAGAGCCAGAGAATCCATCTGCCCTGTCAGGCATTGAGCCAGAAGCCCTTGTTATTTTAGATGCTAAAACCCCATTCTCCCGGGAAACTAAATATGTTTCCTGGTGAAGTCGCACCTGACTGACTCGGAGGCCCCACGAGGAGGGAAATGGGCTCCAATGCTCATGCAGGAATCGCAGCAAGCTTGTGAGGCCAGCTGCTCTGTGCTCGCTGCCAGTGCAGGTGCAGAAGCTGCTGTGTGCCTCTCGGTGAAGGGAAGGTTTCCGAGTAACGCCTCTTAGTGCCACGGTGCAGCCCGCGGGGTTTCAGCCCTTCGGAGATATCCCGGGGTGAGGAGCAGGGGGGAAGGCAGGCTCTGCTTCTCGGAGTAAGCATCTGGCATTGAGAGAAGGGCCAAAAACTGATCCAAGAGGGTCTGAGTTGCTGGGGTGGTGGGAAGTTGCCCTGCTGACACTGCTCCCTTGTTATCTGATTTGATGGTGGAGGAAGGGTTCAGGACAATGGGGCGTTTAAGGTGGGAATCGGCAGAAACGGCACCTGAGAGTCCCTGATATGCCTCTCTGCGGGAGAAGCTGTCCAGGGAGATGAGTCCACAACTTGTATCTGTGTGTAGTCCGACACAGCGCAGTCTGTTCCCCTTTACAGCTCATTCGGATACTCTCAACACCTCCTGAGTCCCGGAAAGAAATCCGCTAAAGGGGGATTGTGCTTGTATGAAAGAGAGGGCGCGTGTGTGAACAGGGAGGGTCTGTCCTCTACGCTCGGGCATTGGAAGGGGCTCCTGGGTACAGAACACTTTGATGTAGTCTCTGGCCTGACCTTGCTGTGTGCTCGCCTGCCTGGCCATTTGAACAGCAGCACAGAGCTGGGGTCTGAGTCCGTTTGGGCAGCACTGGGAGTGCTTGAATCCCTCTCTAAAGGAATCCCCGTGCTCTGTAATCTGTTTGGCTTCAGTAACTGCAGCCGCCTGCCTTTCAAGGCCAGGTGGGCATGTCGGTTCCTCCACCCTCATGTGCTAATTGCTTCTAAAGCAACATTGGGTCCAGCAATTGGAGGTGAACAGCCGGGTAATGAAACGTGAGTGCTGTCGTCCATCTGTGGGACAGGCCAGGGAAGGGAGGGCGCCCCCCTGGGAGAGGAAAGGGTGTTCATATAATACACCCTGCACTTCGTGTCTTCAAAGCACTTTATGAACACTTAATAGACATTAGTACTCAACTCCTCTGTGATGCAGCTAACTCCTGGGTCCGTTTTACAGACTAGGGATATGTTTACACGGCAAGGGAAGCCCAGGTGTAGTAGAACTCAAGTTAGCAGACCCTGGGTTTTTTAACCTAGGACTTGATCGTCTACACGCATTTGTAACACCTGTTGTTGAACCCTTGGTCCTAGCCTGGGGTTCCAGCATCTGCACTGTATGGGCCCGAGTCCAACCACCCGTATCCCAGGCTTCCTTGCACCCTCATAAAATGTGGCCTCTTTAGCCCCTAGTTGATGGTGCAGTGTGGGAAAATTTGACTGTCTGGGAGACAAAAAAAAGTCAGCCCGTGGGATTATGGAATGCTTTTGGTGGACTCCCAGAGCACGAGTCAGTGGGGCTGTGTCTACATTGCAAAGCAATAGGGCTTGAACCCTGGGTCCCGCTTTGACTCAGGCTCAGAACCTCCAACCCCGTGGGGTCCTATGACCTTGGGTCTAAGTCCTGAGCTAGGGCAATTTGTGTGTAGATGGCAGGGGGATTAGGCTTGAGCCAGAGTTCAAACCCTGGGCTTACATCGCAGTGTAGACATACTGTAGGAGCTGGAGACACAAAGGCTGACTTTCCAGTGCTGTGTACCTAGTTGATGGCAGGCAGGGCTAAGACTGGAATGCAGAGCTGTTGGCTCCCAGTCCTGTGAGACCATATTGCTTCCGGACGGGTGCCGAATCCGGCCTGGGCTGAGTCTCTGATCTTGGGCTGGAGGCAGGGTAAGTGACTACTAACCACCGCTTTCATGTGCGTTCCTTCCCGGCAGAAAGAGCTGCGGCCTCGTCTCTGTCCGATGAAGAAGGGCCCTAACGGCTACGGATTCAACCTCCACAGTGACAAAACCAAGCCGGGGCAGTACGTCCGGGCCGTGGACCCAGACTCGCCGGCTGAATCCTCAGGGCTACGTCCGCAAGACCGCATCATTGAGGTACGTTCAGGAGGCAGGGGCAGTGCAGCTAGGAGAGGAGGAGAGAATGAGTGATAAAGCATGGGAACATCTGACGAGGTCGCAGAGGGCAGTGCGTGGGAGGGGCCTCCGTTGGATGCCAGGGGGATGGAGATCGGCAATGTCATGAAGATGCTGCATTCCACATCTTGCACCCACGAGCGTAGCCATCTGAACTGGGCCCAGACTCCTCCTCTGGGGTTAGTAACCTGGGAAGCTTGTCCTCTTCCTGTGCAAAGTAAGGAAAACTCAAGTCTTGCAGCCCATTCGCTTGGGGCCTGTTTTTATCCATCAAGAAATGAGTAGTTAGAATCAGCCTCTGCCGTGTGACTTTGTCTATGACTTGAGTCCTGACGCTGGCCCAGTCATCTTATAGTCACAACCAAAGTCTGTGGGACGGTCCCACCCACCCACCTCTCCCTCACATGTTGTCCGTGGCCAGGACATTAACAGGAATCCCTTCGCTGCTGTCTGTAGGAGGATGAATCTGCAGTGGATCCTGTCTGACAGCTCTGCTTTCTAGGGCATGGTACACTGAGCATGTACAGGCCCTGATACGTGTGCCAGGAGATGGCCGAGGTGATTTCCTGGCCTCTTTAGTTAGTGTGTAGGAGCCCGTGTGGCAGCTGTCCCCCAGCCTGTGTGTACACAATGCCTCATGCTCTTGCCGCAGGTCTGTTGCCCAACCTGTGTGCATATGCTGCCCTGCGCTCCTGGCAGCTTGGCTGTGTAGTCCTGCACTAATCACTTAGAGAAAATCTGATTTTAATGAGGTTTTGCTGGCCGCTCTGCTAATCCCCGAAAGGCTAGCTCTGGGGACCTGCAGGGGCTCGAGGGTGGCGGAGCTCTGGCTGCCATCCGTGCCCGGACAACCAATAACAAGCCCTTTTCCAGCCTACCCCACCTTCCTAGTACCGGATGTGCCATTGGGAAAGCCCTCCACAGAGCTCTCCAAAGACTTCCTGCCCTGGTCTCTAAGCCACTTCCTCTGTCTTCAGGCCATTCCCGGGTGAAAGTCTCTGCAGCACTGTTCTGACTCAGCCTGCTGGAATCTCACCAGGGCATTGATGGGACAGTCACCACCAAGTCACTCCAGCCTTTCCGCCTCCCCCAGCATGACTTAACCTGCCAGCCGCTCGCTTGGAGCACAGGTTAAATGTTCATGGTGGGACATGCTGCCCTTGAGTCAGCTGTGAGGCTGTATCAGTTCGTTCCGTTAAAAAGCCGTTGTCTCCAGCTGGTCAAATCCTTTTGTCCTATCTTAGCAACCCAAGTCCTCGTGCTCCCTGTACAAGGAGGGGCTGTGAGATGGTGAGTTATGGGTTAGCCTTGCTCCCCACAGTCAAGTGTGCACTGCTGTAGAGTAGTGGGGTGTGGGGGGGAGGAGATAAGTGTGGATTTCTTGTGAACATCTTCTGGGCTTGAGAAGCAGCATGTGGGCTGAGCCACTAGTCTGAAGTTCCCGAATGCAGTGTAAGGCCAATAGGAAGGGACTAGATCAGGTTTTTGAGGTATGCTAGTGACCACTACCTCTTGGTCCAGAGACCCCTCTTTCCTTCCTGGGGTTTCCATCTCAGTCTAAAAGCACTGTAGTGTCTCATAGCGATTTAGCTGGGGTTAGTCCTGCTTTGAGCAGGGGGTTGGACTAGATGATCTCCTGAGGTCTCTTCCAACCCTCATCTTCTATGATTCCTGACTAGAGCCTGGTCTACACTAGAAACTTTTGCTGGTATAACAGTGTTGGTTAGAGGTGTGATTTATGTACGTATGTGACATTTCCATACCAGCAAAAGCCCTAGTGTAGATGCAGCTATACTCGTATCAAAGTGCTTTTGCTGGGATGGGTTATTTTGCTCACCAAACTGATACAAGCTACAGTGGCAAAAAAGCACTCTCTGGCTGGTATCAGCTATGTCTACACAAGGTGGGTTTGATGGGATAGCTTGTTGGCAAACTTTTTCTAGTGTGGACGTAGCCTCGGTTGCTTTTCCGCTGCAGGCATTCTTCCGTGTCCCTAAGTTATAATACAGAGGAATGGGACTTATGAAAAGCCTCTGTTCGCAGAGAGCCTGGACTCTCGCTCCTGCCATCAGCTGCAGATCTGATCAACTGCAGCCACAGCACAGCTGTGTAGGAAGGCGCACGGGTCAGCTGAGTTAATGTAGTCAATGTCCTATTCAGAAATGAGGCGCGCAGCTCAGAGCTGGTAATGCTGAGGAGCGATCCAGTGGTTGCTTAGGTCAGGCTCAGAGAGACGTGTGCAAAACAGGAAACGTTCGTAAGAGAGAGTCTGAAATGTGACTAAGTTGCAAGACTACAGAGCCCCGATCTTTGTGTCAGACTCCAGATCTGACCTCTGTGGCACAGCCAGCTCTTCTTCCAGACCCGCTCTTCTTCCTGGGCAGGTTTTGGCAAAGGTGTCATTGGAACCCATTCCTCCTCCATCATTGCTACATGCACTTGTAACTTGGGCTGAATGCTCAGGGCTTCCGCACCTCCCATAGGGCCAGCCAGAATATTTTTGCGGTGACTTGTCTGCGGGCCTGGATCCCAGGCGTGGCAGTCAGATAAGAGAGTTGGTCACAGAGTCTTTCTGAAGTGTAGGATTTGGGTGGAACAGGCCAATGGGAACTGAGAGAGGAATGTCACAACATGGGTGAAGCATCCGTTCCTCTTGTCACGTGGGGACTGTCACCTGTCCAGGCTAGGGATCCGGCTGTTCCGAGCTGCTGGACAACAAGAGTCTGATGTAGGCAAGAGTGAATGTGTCTATTGCTTGGGGGCGGGGGGTGCTCACAATGTACAGCCCTGCAGTAGCCTGCCTGTTCCCGTACCAGCCCGGTAGCAACTGAATGGGATAATAGTCAGCATGTGACTGGTATCAGCATTTCTGTCTAACCCGCAGCCAGCCTTGTAATTCAGTACAAATCTCCTTCTTTCACGGTCTTTCCTCTAACTCTGCCCATTTCCCTTCCGGCAGGTGAACGGACAGTGCATGGAAGGGAAGCAGCACTCTGACGTGGTGACGGCTATCAAAGCTGGGGGAGATGAGACCAAGCTGCTGGTGGTGGATAGCTTAACAGATGAGTTCTTCAAGAAGTGCAAAGTCGTTCCCTCGGAGGAGCACTTGACAGGTGACAGGGTAGCAGCTGCGGTGCTGGGGCTTGCGTGTGGTGCGGGGGAGGGGTGGGTTTTACCTAGACAAGGCCACGAGGTTCTCTGCAAACAGATGGCTTAAGGCGGGAGATGGAGGCTGGGAACAGAAGGCTTCCTGCTTATGGGTGGTCTCATTTCCTGTCCAAAATGAGAGAGGGTAGAGATCTGTCCTGGTGAGGTGTGACCTCTGTAGCATCTCCACGCAGCCCTTGGTGCTGACTGCTTGTGGCCTTTCTTCCTAATCCACAGCACGTAATTAGTTTCCAAGGTGCGCTCTAGTTCACCAGCTCCGTGGGAAGCTGGGAAGAAAAGTCGCCAAGACTTAACCCCGAAGGGACGTGACGTGGCTTGCACCGGTGTCATGCAGCCAAATCAAAGCCTTTCTGCCTGCAAAGCTGGAAACTACCTCGCAAGCCAAAGGCTTTGCTGGCTTCCTTGGCATCTTATATGCCAGTGGGGAATGATCTGGCACTGTCGGCCTGGTTCCCTTGCACTCGGTCACCCCACTCCCTGACTGTGCGGGCGTCTGTCCAGGGTTGTGTGAATTTTATAGCTGAAATGGTTAAACTTTGACAGGGTTTATGAGAGGAGGGGCCCAATTTCTTTCTGTCTCTCTTCTGAATCAGAGAGCAGGCCAAGCAAAGAGCATGACTGGCCACTCTAGCTCATGGTCCATGCCCTTCCATTATCCCAGAGACCAGTGGAACACACTCCCCTCCGAAGATTTACACTGGACTTGGTGCTTCAGTAACTGTATCAAAAAAATGTAATTCTACCACTGGGGAGGTTTAAGGGCAAAAGCTTAAGGGCCCAGCTGTCCCTGCCACAAGCCACCTCTTCTAGAACATGTGAGGGTCTTAACTTGAACCCCCTGACTGCATGAGAGCTAGGGAGTCTGCAAGGAGGGCCTCAGCATCTGGCAAGGCTAATAACCACCAAACAAAATAGCAGCCCAGTGTTAATTGGGCCCTGGTGACCAGCCTACAGAGCTTTCTATCGGGCCTAAAGAATTCTTGTTTCAGTAGTTGGATTTCCTCTAGCAGCACAGAACTCTAGGATGCCAAACAAGAGTGGAAGCTGGCCAGACTGTGTGAGAGGCAGGAGGGACTAACCCTGCAGCAGTTCCAATGGCTGGAGTAGGCCCGGGTTAGGCAATTCTGTGTCCCCCTCGGTCTGCCAGCAACTGCCAGGGGAGAGCTGGGTTTTGCTGGGTGCTAGATGCTTGGTTAAGGGCGGGAAACGCTTGCTGAGGATCTGAGCTCACGTTCTGGAGAACTAGGTTCTTTTCCACTCCTGACCCAGGGATTTGGCTGTGTGGGGGGAGGGTCTGCAGCAGAAAATCCAGCACTTCACCACCAGACTCTGAAGATCTGGGTCCAGTGTGGCTCAAAAACCCCTAAGCAAACAAGCGATTCTGGGTTTTTTTGTTAGCTTGAAACATGCCCCTGGTATATTTACTCTCTAAATCCAAACCCGGCCTCTGAGGAAGGATAAATCTTGCTTAGTAGCAGAGAAGAACTGCATGGCCGCCTGGGCCAGCGGCGCTAAGGGGTTCACAACAGTGGAATCCAGTGCTTGGCTCTGAGGGAAAAGGTCAGTTTGCCGCGCAGACGTTGACATGAGTCTAATGAGCCAGCCGGAAACCTCGGGAGCTAGATACAGGTGTCTGCCATTTATATCTCTGAGCCTCCACCACCGCCTGTGGGCTGGTCTCACTTCAAGCCCTTGTTCTGCTGGAGAGGAGGAAGTGAATGGCACCTTCTAGGTCACACTTGCTGTGACTCTTTTTATGTGCTTCCTGGTGGGGGGGCAGGAAGCTCTCTAGAATCTCTTAATTAATCCTGTTAACCTCCTTCTTCCCCACCAAAATAGCCCGGCCCTGCGGGTGAGTCCGTACCGAGATGTTCTAAGTGGCCCCTCAGAATAGCATCACCCGGGACAGATGCTCAGCTTGGGTTCCCTGCCTTGCCTGGGGCGCCTTGAGATTCTTCCTGGGGCTGATCTAAGGGAGCTTAGGAGAGTGGTGCTTTCTGTGGCATAGGGTCTCTTTAAAGCGGGGGGTGGGCTGGGCAAGGTTGGCCCCTCCTCCACTCTCCTTGCCTCCGTCCTGGTGTCTGGCTGCAGGCGGTTATCTCTTACCTTCTTTTGCTCCAGGAGTTTCCCATGAGCTTTCCTGCCACCTGAGTTCTTCGTGCAATAACACTTTGACAGGGCCTGCTGTCCAGTGGCTTGAGCAGGGGCCAGGGCTGCTGGGTTCTGTTCCTGGGTCTGCCACTGTCTTGTTGCATGGCCTTGGGAAAGTCACTTTACCTCGGCACCTTAGCTTATCCACCAGTGAAGTGGGTCTCGGAAGGGGTGTCGGGAAGTGCTGAGATGGAAGATGCCTGTAGGGGCACACATCCGGGTCTACATCAGCAGCCACCTCCTTGGGTTCATTGCACTGGTCACTTGTTCCCAGTAACATAGACTCGGGACGTAACCCTGCAGTGGAGGCTCTGGCCGTAGGGGACTGCGAGGATGTGGTTTCCCCACCACAGCCCCTGTTCTCAGTGTTTCTGCAGCCTGCAGCTGAGCACTGGGCTAAACCATGGCTTAGTGTGTGTTTGAGACAGTCGGTTTTAACCCTCTGCGCACGCACCCGGGCTAGGAGACGAGTCCTTGTCTTCGCTGCACAAAGGGCATTTGGGCCGGGAGGTCGCAACAAGATAACTGACCCGCGGCGGTTATCCTGCCGCAAAATCCTAGTGCAGACAAGTCCTTGCCGTGAGGTCGTCAGGTGAGGTCAATGCTCTGCACCCTGCCTGTGGTTCACCTCCCCTCGCTGCATCGCAGTGAAAACTACAGAGCCTCGTCTCCACTAGGGTTTCCCGACGTTCGTTATCCTGAGGTTAAAAACGCTCCTTTTTCGGCGGGGAAGACGCAGCCGGTCCGGGTGCAGTGGCAGATAGAGGGGCTGGATCTTCTCAATGGCAAATGGCAGCTTTGTCCATGGCTGGAGAGGGGGGAGGGGGAGCCAGCAGTCCTGTGGATGTTGGCTCCTTGGTTGCCTAGCAATCTGGCTTTGGGGGCTTTCTCGCTGTTTTTCTCTCTGGGAAACTGAACTTCCCATAGTAAAGGGGAGAGGAGACACCGCGGGAGGCGGGAGCCAGCCTATTTACTCCAGGCAGAAAGATCTGAGTGCCCAGCGGGAGGAATGAAAGGTCTGCCCTGCGCCCAGTGGGGGTGAATGCAATAATAATGGGGTTCCGCTTTAAGCAGTGGCTGGTGCTTTAAGATTCTGGGGTGTCTTCAGAGGTGCTTTTTTGTCTAGCTTCCTCCTGGTCTGTGGCAGTTCTGTAGAACCGTTTCCAGCTTCACTTGAGGGGGTGAATTTGCTCCCATCCCGTAGTGGCAAATGTCACTAAATTTGAGAGCTGGGAATCTTTGGCTGCCATTAAGAGTAAATACGAGCTGGTTTTCCTCCCCATGCCCTGCCCCCCAGGACTAACCTCTGATCACAAAAGGATCTGCTCTCTCATGCCAGCAGTAAGGAAGCGAACGGCCATTGGATCTTTCTGGGTAACTGGGAGTGGCACGCTGGGCAGCTGCTGATCTGGCACAGGGAGGCTGCAGAGTGGCATTCCCTTTCTCTGCCTTTCGGATCCCTCCTCCACTCCAAAGGGGTAACTTTATGGGGAGTGATGTGGGTCTGACTTGACTCTGCTAGTACAAAGGCAGTCTCAGTGCCAGCCAAGCGAAAGCATTGTCTGCAGGATGGCACAGCCTGCCTTACCCCTAGCTCTGTGCCTTTGGGGTGCAGAGCTGGGAGGCTGCTGGATAAGCAGCCCCGCGTCTACAATGATGCCCAGTGCCTGGATGTAAGGACAAATAAAGGCAGTGGGTGCTGGTTAAGAGAGGATTTTGCCGGCTCTCTGTAACTGCATGTCTGTGTCTTATCCCCCAGGTCCCTTGCCAGAGCCAGTTGCCAACGGCGAAGTAGAGAAGGTAAAGATCCTGCCAAGTCTCAACTTTTATAGCTGGCATCGAAATGCCACGTTTGCTGCCTGCCGTGCTGTCACGGCAGCATGCACGCCCCCTCCTCCCTGTCGCTTTGCCCCACCCCGAAGCTGAGTGGCTCTTGGAGCCTGTCACGTTCCCAGCTTGTGTTCCAGGGCAGCGCTGACCTTTGCAAAGGAAGGGAGAACTTCACTGTCGGCCACCGAACACATTAAGACGGGCCCATCTCTGCCTGGCTCCACCCCTTCCCAGGGAAGAGAATGGCCCTTTCTTTAGGAAGGGGCCGGACTCCAAAGGCCTCGTTACTTCCAGTCTGGTTTGGAAAAACAAAACCTCATTAACCGTGGTGCAGAAAGGAAGGCGTCGGCTCGTTAGAGCCTGCTGGGAAATCTTAATATACATCAGGAAAAGGAGGGAGGGGAGACAAGACCGGCTGCTGTTTCAGACTAGGGCACAATGCCATGGTTGAGGAATAGGCAAATCTTGCCAATGGGATCGCTCCATCGGGCTTACTGACTAACTGGTGGTGCCAGTGGGTGAAGACAGCCTGGATATTGGAGAGGGGCCAGGGATCAAGGACGGATTCCTCCACCTGGGTCCTTATCCAAGTCTAGATGAGCTGTTTCATGTAGGTGTAGAAGCTGGGGCAGGAAGGACTGAACATACGAGTCCCACAGCTGTTATGATGGGAACATCGGCACTGTTGCCGAGTTGGGCCTGGGCGATAGGGGGACTGTAGCTTTTCTCCCTCCCCCACCTGCCCAATGGCTGCATCTGTGGCTTGACAACCTTACTGGGCTCTCCTCTGGTGCACTCCCTGCCCTAAAGAACCTCCAGGTGTTCTCTGCACCCACACTCACCTGAGCCTTGTTTGCCTGGGGCCTGGCCTACACACCATGTGTGGACCTGTTAGTTTCAGTTAGGGCTGGGACTTTCCTACCGACGTGGCTCTAGCGGCATAACTCTGAGTGTGGACACAGTTCTACTAGGATAAAAGTGCAGAACGGTCAGGAACAAGCTAGAACTACGAAAGCCCAGTAGAACTGTGTCCACACTGGGGGGCTGTGCAGCTTTGAAGGAGAGTGTGTAGGAGTAGCTCTCCAGTGCAGAGAATGGATCTTGTACCCTTGGGGCACTAAGTAACAATGCTTAGACCCTAGCCCTGGAGCTGCGATGTGGCCGGTCGCTCTGGACGGCAGGAGAAGGGAAGGGGTCTCCACGTGCCCTCTTCCCCCCCCCGGCCTGTCCAACGCTAAGGCCAGAGCTTGAGGCAGCACAGCTGCTGTGTTTAATCCTGCCCAGCTCCGAACAGGAAGCACTGAAGCCTGTCCAGGAGATGCTTATTAATCTGCAGCCTGTCAGCAGCTTATGTGCTCGGAAGAAGGATTTCCCAGACCCCCCACTTACTGGTCCCGCCGAGGGAGGAGCTAATTGGCATCAACGTCACTCCTCTCTGCGGGGGGTTGCACAGACCTTCTGGACCTATAAGAGATGTGGTTTGCATCTCCCTCCCCTCCCCAGGAAAGCGCTTCATTCCCTGCAGTCCGTGGTGGGGCCCTGAGCCTTCCTGGAGAGGATCTTGCTTTTAGTGAGATTCCAGTCCGTGCTGGCAGGCGGGCGGTGTTAAGGGGAGTTCTGGCATTTGGGCTAATCCTGCCTTGGGGTTTCAATCTGCCTTCCCTTCTGGCTCCTGCTAAATGGAGCTGAGCAGCTGTTAGCCCTCCTGATCCCCTGAGGAATGCAAAGCCGGGGGGGAGGGAGGGAGTACAAGTTCTGGAAGTAGGGCTCCTCGGCCATCGAAATCTCTAGGGCCCTGACCTCTCATGCAGGGCAAGTGCCTCAACTTCTTAGAGAAGCAGGAGAGTTGCAGAATCTGCAAATGAGATTTGGGGCTCTGCATTAAAAATTACCAACTTGTCTGCCTCTGCACTGCCCGTTACACCCACCTTGGGTGCCCCTGCCCTCTCAGATCCACCCATGGCCCTGCCTGTGTAAGGCACCCCCAGCACAGGGTACTTCTGAATCTACTGGCCATTGACTGGTTCACAGCAGTTGTTCTTGTCCTGGATAAGGTCAATCTCTAGATGTTTTTCGTGCACAGGCTGTTTCAAGAGGATAGCATTTGGAACTGGCCCTGCCATCTGCTGGCAGGCATTACGAAACCTTCCTCTCAATGTGACTTCAGTGTGAGTTTCCCTCTCCTATAGGGGAGCCACTGCGCAGAGGGGAGAGGTGGTAGGAATGGCTGGGGAAAAGGCCTGCCCCTCTGGCTGGGGGAGGTGGCAGCTCAAGGTCTCACTTGGTTTCGTTTCTTTCAGGAGGACAGCAGAGAGGAGCGGCCAGAGTCCGTGTCTGAAAGTCCATCAAGCCCCGAGCCAATGGCGGTGTCCCCCTCTTTCAAAGAGACCTACAACGAGGTATGGGCAGCTGCCTGCTCGGCAGGGCTTTGGGTTGCACCTGGGGGACAACTGGCTGATTTGAAGCAGAAGTGAGGAGGGGGGTAGGATTTACCTCCTTGGCTGGCAGGGAGGGAGGAAGTTGGGGAGCCAGCCCCTTCCTGGTGCATGGGAAGAGACCTTTGCCTTGGAGACTCATCACTTCTCCTTGATGGAACAGCAGGGACCGTGGTGTGTAGCAATGGGCTCATCCCCTTCTCTGGCCAGGCCTGGCAAAGCATCACCTATGCCAGAGAACAGTCTTGCACAGAAGGCTGTCTCTCTTTTTAGACTCTTAAATAAAAGTGGGCTGATTTCCAAAGGGGCTGAGTGCAGGCCGCTCCCCTTGAAACCCGGAGAGCAGCACGTACCCAGCACCTCTCTAGATCAGGCGGCTCCTCCCTAGACACCGGGGGCCATTCAGAAGGTAATTGTAGGTAATCCGGTGTGCAAACGGTGGCTTAACGAAATAGCTTGGGCTTGAGGCAAGGGGAGAAGACCCAGGATAGTGAGGGATAGAGGCAGACCATCTGCTCGAGTGGGTGAGATCAGGGTGAAATGCTCGAACGCTCATTGTGCCTGTCGCTCACCTTTGCAGTCTGACTCGCAAGAGAAGGAGGAGAAGCGAAACTCCACGCCCGATCCACTCCTGGACCTCAACGTTCCCCTGGCCGTGGCCAAGGAGCGCGCGCACCAGAAACGCACCAGCAAGAGGGCGCCGCAGATGGACTGGAGCAAGAAAAACGAACTGTTCAGCAATCTCTGAAAACCCCCCCGGCAGAGGAGAGGAGAAGTAGCAAACTCTCCAGCGTCTGGCCCAAATCTCCACCAGCATCTCGCTTTCTTCCCAGTCTCCAGTTTCGCTAGGGAGCGGAATCCTTTCCCCTACACTTGGATTGCACAATTTGGTTTTCTCTACTGTAATCTAATCTAAAGGGAAAAAAAGCACAATGGCTCCTTTTGTGAGTTTCCAGAGCAGTGTTAACATTCAGAGAACGACAAGATGTTTTTGTGCGTCTCAATAGCTTAGGGTTCATGCGTGGTAAGGAGTTGGACCATTCCACGGGCCCAAATCAAACCCCTATGTGTTGGCAGTGGGCACTGTGGGACACCTTTCATTCTCTCACTGGCTTTTTACTGAAAGCTTAAATCCATGTAAATGCAGGGAAGACATTCAGCAGTGACGTGGGATTTTGAGTGCCTGACTTGAGACCCCTTAAAGAGGCCTGATTTGATGCTCGGCTCTTAAAGGAGCTTGGATATATTTTCAGGTGTCTCCAGCTGAGCACCCAAAATCACTAGACATATCTGAATATCTCAGCCTTAGGCTTCAGTGTATTTTAAGCTTCAGTTTGGCCAAGAACCAAACAACATTCCTTCCAAGAGTTACTATTTGTTTAGGGTGGGGTTTTTTTGTTGTTTTTACCTCTGACCTGGGGCTTCCATCTACAATGATCCACCCCCGTCAAATCCCCTGTTCTGAAGGTACCCAGAGGGCACTGCAGTTGAATCAGTTTAACCGAGCACTTGTGTGAATGCCATGAAACCGGTGTCCTGTACACGCCTCACTGAACCATTTGTCCCAGGCCAACTGGAAGCGAACTTTCAGAGGATCTAGCTCCCTAGGGCAGCTGAGGCCTGAGACCAGAAGGGCTTCCCTTGCCATGTTATACCCCTGGGGTTTGTTCCTGCAGGGGAGGGCTGTTTGGACCAAGCACAATGACCAATAACTGCAAGCAGGAATCTCCTTCGATGTCTGGCCGAACCGATCAGGGTTTTGAATACTGAAATGTGTAATGTAAAGATTTTTAAATAGACTCTGTCCATTCTCTGAAATGAGATGTTTCCAATCACACTGATTTTTAAGGGGGGGGGGGGGCAGGGAAAAAAGATTTATTCTGTGGCGATTTTTTCCCTGTGGATGTTTTATTTCCGTGTTTGCGATCGAGGTATTATTGTACTGTCAAGCTCAAGAGAAATGCTCTTTACCGGGGAAAAAAATCCCTTCTGACTTTGTGTGTTCATTGGATGGCTAAATCCTTCTAAAGCTGTCCGCCTGGGGGCTCTGAGCAATCCCCTGATTTAGCACCTCGGCTGCACTGTGGAGAGAGACGTGATCGGGTAACTGCCAATGGCTGCTTACAGGGAACGTGTTTCAGCCCCTCCACCTGGCAGCCTTTGTCCAGGAACAACCCTCTGTGAACTGCCCTAACGTGCTGCCCCGCTGCGCTAGTGCATTGTGGGAAAAATCTGGGCCGCGCTCCTGTGCTGGCTCAGCTAGTGGTGCAATGCATTTTGGGATAGCCTCCTGCCTGGAGGCGGGACTGGCTTGGCAGGAACAGGTGGGCAGGCCTTCTCTCACAATGGAAGGGGCAGTATTAAAACTCTGCCACAGCCCGGCTCCTGAATGTGTACCCACCCGTGTTAAGTGGGAGCAGCAGTCAATCATATACGAGCTCATAACAATGCTGTAGTGTAGATGTGACCCTGGGGCAGGGGGAATTGCACGTCAGGAAATGTCTGCTAGTGCGGTTTGCGTGGCTAAAGTGCTGCCGGTGCAGTGGTCCTGCTTGGGGTAGGGATAAAGGCCAGCAGCCCTACCCTGCCCCTTATTTTCAGAGTAAGGATAATTGCCGCTGGTGTGGCTCTGTTTAAGCCCCGCCCTCCGTCAGAGCATGGGAAATTCCAAGCCTGTTGAAACTGGTTTAAGGGTTTCCGGTGCATTTGGATGGTGGCACTTTGCAATGTAGTGATGCATTCTGGGCTGACTGGCTTGCTTCTGGAACCTAGCGAGGGGCGGGGAGGGAGAAGAGAGGGATCGGCTGGACCCTCTGCGTTAATGTCTCTGGATTATTAAAATGCTTTAATCCTGCTGCTCAGGGGGGTGGGGTGGGAGGAGGTGCCCATGAGACTGCTGTGAGTACCAGCTGTAATCAGCTAGGGCTGTTGCTAGAAAGGATTCCCAGGGTAGGGTCACGGCAAGCCTGAGGGACTGTCTTATCTCCGTGTTTACTGACCTGATTCGAGGGCAGCGGCAGCCCCTAAACTCTCTGCAAAAATAAACCAACTGCTCTGCAGTCCATCACCATTTCACAAGACCATGCACATTCCAAAACAATCCCAAGTGGCCCAGGCCGGTAAACATCAGAGCCTCTCTCAAATAGCAGAGGGGAAGGGGTTAACAGATGAACACGGGACTGCTCCTGGGTTGGGGTGGGGTGAGGTTGGAGCAGGCGGTCACAGATTTCCCTCTCCTCTGGTAAGGATGTGATGGGAGTGAGCGGGAGACTGCTTGAATTCCAGGACTTGACCTAGCAAATCGCTAAGGTGTGTGTGCCCGATCTACACAGGAGCATGCAGGTAAGTGAGGAGCTGCTGGCTGTGGAGAAGAGGAGCCTGAGATGGGACTGGGAAAGGAACAAGAGGGAGGAAGCATGGAAGAAAGGTCTACTCCATACATCAGAGACGCCCATGGCGCTGTAACAGCATTTGGTGGGCAGGTGCAGACCGGAGGTGGGGAAGAAGGGCAGGGGCAAACCAATGCATGAGGGCCTCCTTAAGGAGAAGCAGTTGCTGGAGGCAGGTAGGGTATGCAGATTTCTAAGGGAGTGGGTGAATTGTTTCCACTCCCAGATGTGTAGGAGATGGGCCTGTCTTGTGCTTGTTGATGAGCAATGGCATTTAGACTCTAAAGGAGGAAAACTACAGTAAGCGAGAGGAAGGAGATAGCTGCAGAACAGTGATGCCTAAAAGCGAAGGCAATAGTGGGTAAACTTAAAGGACTGATGCACTGGCAAGTGCCATGTCCTTTCTTATGTGGCTTGTTCTCATAGCCTACAGCCTCCTACTGCTACTGGCGAGTGGAGTTGCTTCTTTAGCTCCTGGCCAGAGAAGTCCTTTGGCTGAAGATCCTGGGTTCTATCCCTGGTGGAGGTGATTATTTGGAATCAAAGTCAATGGTTCCTGACTGGGAGAATAAGATTAAAATCAAGGTGAGAGCCGAACAGAGTAGTAGAGCTATGATCAGAGTGCTCCACCCCTGCCCCTGATTATAACAGGACAATGGTTTGGGCAGTGTCATAACACCATCTCTACTAAACCAGAGAGCAGCCTCTGTAGAAGATGATCTGCTACAGAAACTTGACTCTGACTCCAGTGCCCGCCTCTGGTGTAATGACTTTACTAGGAAAGCAGAACTAGCGCCGTGTTATAAACCACAATATTTGTGGATATAGTGGCGATAATGTGGAGTCTGTACTCTGTGAACAGCGAGACACCACTTAGAGGCTTGTAGTGGAGGAAATAGGCCTTGGAGGGGAAGGTGTCCAGTGACGTGCTTGTAGAGCCTGGCTACGGATAGAGATTGTTCCAGGGCTGCCACCTTGTGGCTTGGGCTTAGCAGCGAGATCGGTGTTTGCAGCACTATTTATATGTGTGCACAATGCTGAGTAGCTTAAGTGGGTTAAACAGATAAGTCCTTAGCCTGCAGAATGTACAGCTGAAAGGCGTGGGTGAGGACAATGCACAACAAACCCGGACGGCAGTCTGGTCATAACGGCAACATCTCACGTGGCAGGACTATTCTCTAAAGCACTAGAAACTTTCCAGGGCTCAATTACAGTAGAACCTCAGGGTAATGGTCAACCACACACCTCATTTGGAACTGGAAGCAAGCAATCCGGCAGCAGCAGAGACCAAAAAAGAGAGCAAGCAAATGCAATACAATAAACTACTAAAAATAAAGGAAGAACAGGAGGACTTGTGGCACCTTAGAGACTAACAAATTTATTAGAGCA